AGAAAGAAAGAAAGAAAGAAAGAAAGAAAGAAAGAAAGAAAGAAAGAAAGAAAGAAACTGGAGCTGGGTTCCAGCTTAGATCTCCAAGGGGTCACCATGGCCACTCTTGAGAATGGGATTGTGGTTGGCGCAGCCAGTGCTCTGTATAGGGAGAGAAGCAAAGGAGCTGCGTGTATGTGAACAGTGAGTGACCAGGGTGGACCAGGGTCTCGGCACAGAGGGAGGGAGGGAGGGAGGCCGCGAGGAGAGAGGACAGGTGCTGGGATCCGCAGATGGCAGCCCCTGAGAGCGCCCGAGTCTGGGATGCAGGAGGAAGCAGCTGAAGAGGTGAAAGGTGCCAGCCGAGGGGGTGGGTCTCCGTGAGGGGTACGCAGGGGCGGTGCTGGACCGTGATGAGGCCGGGACAGTGCGTGTGAGTAGGGAGTATGGTCTGTGAAGTCCATGCGGTGGGTTGGAAATGCCATCCAAAAAAAAAAAAAAAAAAAAAAGGATGGAGTGGAATGGAATGGAGAATCTCCAAGTGCATTGCGTGTAGCGAAGCTAACCGCCACGTGACGAGAGTCATTTCACACGTGTGTCTGCTTTATGGGCCGTGTTAGAAACCCCACTCCTGAAACATTTCTGACGCCACAGGTCCCAGGGAGCAGGGATTTTTGGGGAAGACCAGGTCACTACAGGAGGGGCAGGGAGCTAAGGGGAGCACAGCCCCGACCGGTCAGGTCTGGCAGTATTCTTTCAGAGAGGCCCAGGAGGCGGGTTCTTGCTGCACCAGCCAGAGAGGCTGTGGGGAAGGGCTGCCCTGGCCTAAGGCCGAGGGAGGGGTGAGTGTCTGCGTGCTCTGCATGGAGGGGGTGTGGAGGAGCCCCTGGAGCAGAGGCTGGAAGGATGCATAAGAGTTTGTCAAATATATACACAAATACATGTTGTATATCACATGGTATATAATGGTTGTATGTCATGCAATCACATCTACATATAGTAACATATATAACTATACACCATACAATTACATAATGATCATGTCATACAATTACCTGTATCATTATATATAATATGCAATATTGCTATATGTACCATTGATTATATTACTTATAATTTAATATTATATGCATTATGCTTTATATGCTTACACAAGCTATCATGTACATATATACAGATGTTATATGTGCAACATAACATGCATCATACAATATAGTGTATATTATAGAGTACATAGGGTATGTATTTTCTATGATATAATCCTATAGAGTATAGAATGTATTATCTATAATAATGCACAGTAGTCTGTTGCAGTTAACACCCTATACCAATGCATCGTGCGTTGTGTAGCACTGACAAATGGTACAGGTGGCCTACACAGCCTTTGTGTGTAGGAGGATGTGCAGAGGAGGGGGGAAGTGTTTGGGAAGCAGGCACAGCAGGTCCCCATGGAGAGAGGCTGCCTGCTTCAGAGCTGTGTCCGTGAGAGAGGGCAGAGTGGAGTAGTGGCAGCAGGTGACAAGGTGGGTGAGAGAGCAGGGAGGCACAGGTGAATAAGGCCTGGTAATTGCAGGTAATGATGTGTGCTTATTTTTAACCCAGAGCATAGAATAGCCCTGATTCCATGGTTATAAAACCAATGCGTCTATGGCTTTCATGTCACCTGTGACACAGCTGGCTCTGTGGCCCTTGCTAACTCCACTTTTCCTCTCTAGGCAGGTGGAGAAGGGCAGTCTCATGTGCACCTCTGGCTCCTTGCACCCTGCATGTGTCTTTTTTTTCCCTAAGATTTATTTATTTATTTGGAAGGCAGAGTTACAGAGAGGCAAAGGCAGAAAGAGAGAGATCTTCCATCTGCTGGTTCACTCCCCAAATGGCTGCAACAGCTGGAGCTGGGCCGATCCAAAGCCAGGAGCTAAGAGCTTCTTCCAGGTCTCCCACACGGGGTGTAGGGGCCCAAGGACTTGGGCCATCTTCTACTGCTTTCCCAGGCCATAGCAGAGAGCTGGATCGGAAGTGGAGCAGCCGAGTCTTGAACCTGCGCTCATATAGGGAGCCGTCACTGCAGGCAGCGGCTTTACCAGTGCGGGACCCCCTGCTTGTGTCGTGATGCTCAGGAATGAGTGAGATCATGGAGGCTTAGGCAAGAGTCTAAGAAATTCGCACCCTGTGGCTCGAGGGCTTGAGAGCTCAAGTTCACAGGGAGATACATTTGTTCCACCCAAGCAATGCATAAACTCTTTTTTAATTTAGCTAATTTAAAGTTTGAGATATTTCACCCCAGATTCCATTTCCAATTTATTTTTTAAAATCCAAAGAGCTATCAGCACTCACTTCTGCCCAGCCCTGCTTGGCTGTGGTTGGGCAGCAGACGTCCACTGTGGTCAGGATGTCCACCCCTGGGCGGTGCCTCCACAGACCCCCCCGCTGGCCCTGTGAGCTGTCCACCTGCTGGAGGTGGCAGGAAGTTAGTATCACACACGCAGGCCATGACTGAGCAGAACAACTAGTGTGCAGGGCAGGAGGAGGCCAGGAGCAGCCAGGACACGCTGGTGGCAGGCCCCAGCCACCTGAGGGACACACGTGACAGGCCAACTCCTCTTCCTCTGGGGGCTTTGGGCCTGTGGCACACTCCTTGTGCTGTGTCATCCCTTAGTTACTGGAACACGTCTAAACCTAGTCTTAATGGATGTGGCCAAGACGAAAAGTTATGGAGCCGCATCACGTGCCCGTGTGAGGCGTGCCCCCCATCGAGCTCCCAGCAGGGTGGTGCTGACCACTGCTCGTCTGCTCTTGTCCCCAACAGAGCTGTGGAGTCGACTTTGAGGTCAAAGCATTCGCTACCGACGTCACAGACAGTGAAGAGGACAAAATCCCCAAGAAGTAAGTGTGGGGTAGGTGAGGGGCTGGGCTGTGGGGTGCCAGGCTCTCCCTGCAGGGCCAGTGGGGCCAGGAAAATGGTACCCCAAGTCAAGACAGCTAAGGACAGAGCCATGAACCATCTCCACATGGGGCGGGGGCCAGTAGTGGATCATTTAAGGGGAATAAGCAAAGTAACAGAGGAGTTCACAACCTCAAAGGCTCCTCTAAGCCCCTAGAAGCTCCTAGATTCCCTGTTTTCTTCTTTAAAAGAAAAAAATATCTTTCTTGTTATGGTAAAATATAGTACGTGAAGCAAGCACTTGGCCTGATGGTTCAGAGGCCTGTCGGTTACATCAGAGTGCCTGGATTTAACCTGCAGCTTCCCGCTAATGCCCACTTGGAAGGTAGCCAGTGACTGGGTCCCCACCACACACATGGGAGACCTGGA